ACATTCACGGCAGGCTTCGCTGATGAGCCAGACTTAGTAGTGGTCGTCGTAGTCTTCGTCTCAGAGGATCCAGATTGGCTGTTTCCGGAAACGACGTTCACGACAGGTTCAGCTGATAAGCTAGTTTTATTAGTGACAGTGGTTGTGGTAGTCTTCGTGTCAGAGGATCCAGACTGGTTGTTTCCGGAAACGACTGTTAAGGTAGGATTCTCTGAAGAGCCAGATTGAGTCGTTGTAGTGGTGGTCTTCGTTTCAGAGGATCCAGATTGGTTGTTTCCGGAAACGACTTTCACGGCAGGTTCAACTGTGTTAATAGTTGTGGTTACTTTCACGACAGGATCGATTATTGAACGAGTTTTCTTATAGGTGTTTGTAGTTTTAGTTGAAGTGGGTCCTGATTTGATTATTTCGGTATTCGTCTCTGCGGAAATCACTTTCACGGCAGGTTCAACTAAAGAGGTCGTTTGCTTAGAGCTGGTCGTAGTCGTAGATGATCTAGACTGGGTGTTTCCGGTATTAGTGACTTCGGAAACCACCTTTGCGATGGTATCGCCACTCCGCTCCGCAGTTCTATGATTATGCGGAATAGTACTTCTTATATCGTTAATGATCGAATCAAATTGAATTGCATTCTGTTGTACAGACTCTTCGCCTGTTGAAGTTATCTGATTATTTGAGCAGTTTGCACGTTTATCGTTTTCCACAATCAATCTACCGAATAACCTATCCAAGAGCCATAACCGAATATCTTTCCGAATCTCCAATAGAGTTTGTCGAACACTTTCACAACACGGAACGTTAGCTGCTGCAGACTGTGGCTTCACTGCTTCGGCGCTTACTGCCGTCTCCGTTGGGATATGCGCACCGTATGCGAGTGCCACGCAGGCGCCCAAAAGGGCAATACAAAATATACGCATTGTCTACCAATAACTCAAACTCCCAACTTCATCTGTTGCCTTCTGTGGCAGCAGAGCTGCTTTTATACCTTCGCAGAAGATAGAAGTTTGTTGTCTTTTCTATAATTTAGGTATTTACTTTTCTGCAGTTAATCAAATTTCGCATTGTGCCAAAACATTTGGCAATTCTATTGTTCCACTAGCGATGTCGAGAAATAACTTGTTAATACTGAAGCTCATACTTTAGATAGAAAAGAACTAAACACCTGTATAAAATATTTGCTTAGAGCTTAGATTAAATAGACTGTCAGACTTTCTTGGGTGTACGATGTACGTAAATTAAATGTGTATTTTGGCCAAGACGTCAAATGTACTGCAATTACCAAATAACACGAGTATGATGAGCGTGTCTCCAAGACAAAGCCTTGTTTATTTGATTTGCCAATAACAGATTGAGAGTACTCAAAATTATGCCATATTCGTATTTATTCATTTTAAATTTATGTATACATAGATATATATATATATATAGAGTTTAAAAATATCCAAGAGTGATACATCTCATTCCGAATTAGTATTCATCCTTCTCAAATGGATGGTGTGGATGACCGTGTTGGCTGTAAAAATATGCACAATTTTCCATATTAGAAGTCAATTAATTATGAAATATATAGGAAAAGTAACAAAAGATTAAGACTGTTAACCAAACTAAGCGGAAAATAAACATGTTGTTAGTAAGGGAAACTCTAATATACAAACATTATCTACTATGTATTTCATTTGCTGTAGTGTAATTAATAGCATTCCAATCTAATAATACAAAATGGGATTGGAGTTCAACAAAAGCGCTTTAAAGCCTGGTAAACAAAATATTAAAATAAAAGAAAAAAAAATAACGAGAAAGTAAACACAAACAAATAGGCCGTAATAAAGGGTTTAAACATACGTATATGCCTCTCGAGTTGCCCAGTTGTTAGTTTTTGCCAGAAATATTTACTTAACTATTTGATTATGTGATTATTCATATTTCAGATATTCCTCTCATTTATATAGATTGAAAAACCCTTTGCGATTTGATTTAATATTCATCGCTAAATGGATAATGTTCATGATCGCCAGCATCCCTAAATAAGCAAGTCAAATGACAAATATTAAAATTAAACAAAGTTTTCTATAAATAAATAAACTAAAATATTATACATAGATGTGTGTAATGAAAAAAAAAAAAGAAATAAAAATAAACTAAAAGTAGTTCAGACTTAGCTGATCAATAGATCTTAGACCAAATTTCGTAGTCTTTTGAGATCTGAATGCGAATCTCAAATATAGTTGCTTTAACAGTTAATTTCGTAAGGTATTTATCCCAAAAGTACTGGTACTGGTATATCAATAAACATGTACCGAAATAACAGATTTTAAAAGTAATCATTAAAACTGACAGAGAGAAGCAGAAGTTTTTGTTAATACCACCGTAACGCTCTTTACGACCTATTTCTGCACCTTAATATTTAACTACTAAATAATTAGATTTAGCCATTTTTATGGGACATGTGAAATACTTACTTAAGCAGCGGTACCAGACGTCCATTGCACTCGAAGCTTTCAATTATTTCGATCTCTTGGGGCGTGAGTTCGAAATCAAATACTTTGAAATTGGACTCAATACGTTCCTTAGTCACCGACTTGGGTATAACAATGTGATTCCGTTGAATCTGATAGCGTATCAAAATCTGTCCGGGTGTCTTGTTTTTGGCAGCAGCAATTTCCTTGATCTAGAAGATTTTAGAAGTTGCTCCGTTAGTTGCCTTAGTTGAGTTATCAAAACCTATTTTACCTTTTTCTCTTCTAGAATAACCGGATCACCTTCCTTGGCCCATGGGCGATTTGGGCTGCCCAGTGGGCTGTATGCCGTAATGGTAATGTTCTTCTGTTTGCAGAATTCAGAAAGTTTCTTCTGCGTCAAATAGGGATGGCATTCGATCTGATTTGTAGCTGGGGGAATTTTGGCAACAGCCAAAACGCGTTCGATTTGATTTTTATTGAAATTGGATACGCCAATGGATTTAACTAGACCCTCCTCAACCAGCTTCTCCATGGCCTTCCAGGTGTCAACGTAATCGTCCGGCGAGTACAAAGTTTTGCCATTTGCATCAACTGGGAACAGTTCGGAGCCCTCCTTATAGCCCATGGGCCAGTGGATCAAGTACAGATCCAGATATTTAAGCTTCAACAGGTTCAAAGTATTCTGACAAGCAGCTTTGACCACATCTGGACGATGGAAGGTGTTCCACAACTTGCTTGTAATGAACAGATCCTCGCTGGAAGAATTATTGGGATAGGAGAAGTTTTAATATACGGCATACATACATAACGGCATACGTACCGCTTTACCACGCCTTCTTTGATCTTGGCCTCGATGCCAGCACCAACTTCAGCTTCATTTTGATAGACAAAGGCGCAATCAATGTGCCTATATCCAACATCAATGGCCGTCTTAACCGCCTCAGCCACTTGACCAGGAGGACTCTAAAAGCAAAACAAAGTTTGACACTTGAGTATGACCAATGGGCAAAAGATTAAGGGTGATTTACTAATTAATCTTTAAGATTACGTCTACAATATATACATTTTATGGGAGAATAAAACTTAGGTTATCTATGCCTTATCAGCATATATTTCAATTTTACATTATTAAAAAAAAATTATTTATATTAATACAAAATCAAAAGTACAATTAAATGTTAAGCTGGCTTTTTTGACTATTCGACCTCTAAGCAAATATAGTTATTAAGCTTTATATTAAGAGCGTTGAAGGGAGACTTAATGAAATGTGTAGATAAGCACATTTATCAGTTTTGGTTTCGTCTGGCGTCTACTGATTTATAAGTACACTTCAGTTGTACAACATAATTTATCAAATCGTGACGTCGCATTTTTGAAAACTTTCCATTAGTTATTTAATCAGACAAAAGGTCACCTTGGTGTAAGAGTGTGTAAATAAGTCAGTTCACATAGATGTCAGTAATAGAACATAGCTGGAGGTCTTATTATCGACTCTTATCGCATTTGTAATTCGCGCACACATCACACCCACACAAACATATGTATATACATAAGTACATATGTATGTATATCGCAGCCGGCAAATGCCGCTCCCGGCTAATTATCAAATGCAAGTTCTTTGCCTTCTCTTTCTAAATTTGCCAACACGCAAAAAAAAAAATGGAGGAAGTCGTGGGCCGATAGAACTTGCTATTGTTGGATATGCATCCATATTTAAGCAAGCTATAACTATAACTATAACTGTACTTAACTTACATTCCAGGTTCCAAGACCAAGTATGGGAATACTATGRCCACTGTTCAGCTTAACGGTCGGCACTGTGCTAGCCATTGCGATTGGTTCCTGCTTAATTTGTTTTTATAAAGGATTGTATAAATATATTAATTAATATATATTTTCTGGTTACTTTAAATGTAAATGGTTCAAATAACACTGAGCACCATCACACAGCTGTTCGCCGCTTTTATATATGCTCATTGGCCGGCGGCCAAATGAAAGCTTTGCCAAGCTTACGAAAAGGTCTGCATTCAAATATACATCGATACCATTGTGTGATCTTTAAAAATATCGATATATATTGAATGAAAATGTAAATTTGAATTAAACTGTTATATTTGCAATTTTTGCAGATTTCTCAGTGCGTGTTTAATCATATATATTTCAGTTTATTTTGCTAAAACTTAATAAAGCAATTTGCTTACACACATACATTGCCCACATAGGTTCCAATTCCAGGAATGGATTTTTGATTCCCATCCGCGAAAATTGCCTTGGGCACATCTGCAACATCTTGACGCCTGATTTCAGATCTTTTTAAAACATTTTAAAATTATTTTAGTTAATTTAGTTTACGTTACCACATGAAGTATTCTGGGTTTGTATAGCTTCTTATTGCGATTTGAATTTGAGCTTGAGTTAATCGAATAGGATATCTTAAGCACTTGAGCATCACACAAATCAATTTAAAAGCTGACAAGTTTTCCCTACGCTCATATTTCAATGATCGATTAATGCCAAAATTTGCAGCGATTACTTAGGTTTATTAAATAAAAAAGAGCATTATGAAAATATATATTAAGGCAAAAAGAAGCATATTTAGAAAACCAAAAGAGACCTGCAATATATTTGTTTAAAAAATGTCATTGTTTCACAAAAAAACTTAATAGTCTAATTTAGTGCCTTTGGCCGAATATATCAATCAGACATAGGACGCCAGGTACAAGTATGATTTGTTGTATCCGAATTATACATTTCTGTTGTGGTTTTCCATTTGCTTTGCGGAATCCAGTTCGAACGGGTGATGAGGATGTCCATATGCAGCTTTCATGGTCATGAAGCGACCATTGCAATCGAGATCGTCAATTGCTTGTAAATCATCGTTATCCAAACCAAAGTCCCATATCTTCTTAAAGTTTTCGTACATGTGATGCTTGCTAATAGAGCGTGGTATAACAATAATGCCCGATTGAGTCTGATAGCGCAGCAGCACCTGCGCTGGGGTACGGTCATACTTTTCCGCGATCTCCAGGATCACAGGATGCTTCAGCAAGGGATAGGCACCCGGCTTCTCGTAGGGTGTGTGTGCCGATCCCAGTGAGCTGTAGGCAGTGACAGCAATGGCATTATCGTAGCAAAGTGTTATCAAAGACTTCTGACGTAGATACGGATGACATTCGATCTGTAGCACCACTGGCTTCAATTTGGCTACGCTCAATAGTCGATTAATCTGTTGCTCATTAAAATTAGAGACTCCAATGGCATGGCATAGGCCGGCCTCGACCAGGTTCTCCATGGCCTTCCACGTGTCAACGAAGTCAATATCCTCAAATACTGCCTTGCCCGTGTCCGGGCAAGTGGGATAAAGAACGTCACCGGATTTATATGCCATTGGCCAATGCATGAGATATAGATCAAGATAATCAACGCCAAGGTTACGTATACTTGTTTCACAAGCAGTCCGCACCAAATCTGGCCTGTGATGGGTATTCCAAAGTTTACTTGTAATGAAAAGCTGGTCACTGCGTGGATTTTAAATATGATTAAAATCTTATATAGATTTGTTTATAATATTGTTTGTCTCTACCGTGTTATGACTCCCTCTTTGAGCTTTTCGGTAATTGCTGCGCCAATTTGTGCCTCATTTCCGTAGATGTGGGCGCAGTCAAAGTGGCGATAACCAATATCAATAGCATCCTTCACCGCTTGTGTGATAACCTCAGGAGGGCTCTAAAACGGATTGAAGCAAAAAAGATAACTTTCATTATAAGTAAAAAAATTTGGTTCGACTAGCTCTCTCGCTCTCTCTCCCTCTCTTTCTCAATTTCAATAATTCTTGACAAAAAACAAAGCAGTTGATATCCATAAGTGTGAGACAGATGACCGCGCTTCTTTATTCTTTCTTATTTAAACTATTGCGCTCAAAATATGACTAAGCTCTTCGTATTCATATGCTAACATACATTGTACATACACGCAATATGCACCACAATTACACGCATACAATATTTTTGGTGCACGTTTTCACTTGCACTGCTCTGAAAGTTCTTCAAAGCTCTCTCTCACACCGACATCGGGAACCGCGCAGGCTGCGTTGCATTGCCTCGTATATTATGCGGCATTATTGTGATTATTCAATAGTACGATGGATGATACTTACACGCCATGTGCCCAAGCCGACCATTGGCATATTTTTGCCATTACTCAAAAGGAAATTCGGAGTGGACATTTCTATTCGAAAAACTGAAGATATTGAATTATTTCGAACCGTATATATGTACCGTTTACCGAAAGTAAACGCGAAGAGAAAACCCTATTAATTTTGCTACAAACTAATAAAAGTGACAGCTTATAAAAATACAAACAGGAAAACGAACATGCAGTGTTCAAATTTAGAAACGTTCTGGCAACCAAAGCTGTTTTTACAATCTTGACCTTCAGAATTTGGTAAAATGCTTGTCCTCCAATGAAAGAATATTTCTCTTTTAAAATGCGGTTATTTTTAAGAAAATATCAAATAATCCTCTTGTGCACACACTGGTCTTAAGCGATAGTTGTGACATATCGATAGCTATAATTTTGCATACCCACATAACACATCTCTGTTAAGTTTGCCGGCCATCTGTAAAAAATATCAACAAATCGCATTTTAATAATCCTGTTATTTATCATTGAAATATGTTTGGCTCTGCGAATAATTATCTCTCCGGGGTGTTGCGTGCTGCTGAGGATTATGATGGTGAGAACTTAGGCACCTTTTTATCGCTGCGCGACGTTCACGTTCAGAACCACAACTTGTACATATCCCAGCCCGAGAAGCTTGTGGAGCGCATGCTTAAGCCACCTTTGGATGAAGTGGTGGGCTCGCATCTAAAGGTGCTCTATTATCTATCACAAGAGCCGCCCAACTACATGGAAGCGTACAATCACCAGGCTGCTAGCTGCTCGGCTGTAGTTAAGCTATTGCAGCAAATGAAGGACGAGAACTGGTGCCTTCCTGTCATGTATCGCGTGTGCCTCGATCTGCGTTACCTGGCTCAGGCATGTGAAAAACATTGCAGAGGCTTTACGCCGGGCCACATACTGGAGAAGGCCGCTGACTGCATGATGGCTTGTTTCCGCGTATGCGCAGCTGATGGACGCGCTTCAGAAGAGGATACCAAACGGCTGGGCATGATGAATCTGGTGAATCAACTCTTCAAGATTTATTTCCGCATAAATAAGTTGCATCTGTGCAAGCCGCTTATCCGTGCAATTGATAACTGCTCGTTTAAGGACAGCTTCCCACTGCCGGAGCAGATCACATATAAATATTTTGTCGGACGGCGCGCCATGTTTGATTCCAACTATCGGATGGCTGTAGAGGATTTATCGTATGCATTCACCCACTGCCCAGATCGATTCAAAAGCAACAAACGGTTGATTCTCATATACCTGGTGCCGGTAAAAATGTTGCTTGGATATCTACCACGAAAATCCATGCTGGAACGGTACGACTTGTTGCTATTTCACGATTTGGCGCTTGCCCTAAAAGCCGGAAACGTAAAGAAATTCGATGAGATCGTCCATGAGCATGAGCTTGTGCTGATTCGCAGCGGAATTTATCTGCTTGTCGAGAAACTTAAGTTTATTGTGTATCGTAATCTGTTTAAAAAAGTGTTCGCCATCCGGAAGACACATCAATTGGATATGGGTGATTTCTTATCGGCACTGCAATTTGTGGGTGTAACTGATGTGTCCTTGGATGAGACGCACTGCATTATTGCAAATCTCATATACGAAGGCAAAATTAAAGGTTACATATCCCATGCGCACAACAAATTGGTTGTTTCCAAGCAAAATCCGTTCCCGTCATTAATTTCAACATAGACTTGTGGCACTTTAATAAAAGAAGCTGAAGTTATTTAAAACTATTTACACATTGAAAAGTTCTTTGATATTAACCCGCCGATTAGTATTAATGGAATATTAAACAACAAAAGTTATAGTACAGTGTGTATCGATATGTGCCGCACAGTGAGGGCTGCTAAAGTTATTTGTATATCGATATTACAAATGTCAGTATTCCGACCGCATGTACACACACTAACGCAAAATCATATGCACACGTATTAGTCTGTATATATTTCCAATAGCTCAGCTGCAATCAGTTTTCGGTGTGCTCTCGTAAATAATACAAATTAAATAGAATAATAGCAAATTTTGGTAAATGGCAGATTAAGTATAAATTATAGCAGTTCGCTATGAAATTTTTTCACTTTACATTGATTTAATTTGCATTACTCGACCGGCTCTACAGAACCTACTTGCAATTGCAAAATCAATATTACTAATTTGCTTTGTATTTTTTCTAATAGTTGAAATGACATAACAAAAATTCATTTGAAATTGTATACGCATAGAAATTAACAAGTTCTCGTTGTTGTTATTGCTGTTGCCGTAATTCTAGCGTACCTGGTACCTACATACCTCTAGGAAATTACGAAAAACGAAAGAGGCTAAACCTTCGTAATGGCAGCCCCGGTAATTGTGGAGGCCACGGTCAAGCAGACGGCGACGGTAAGTGCGAAAGAGCAAGATTTCGATTTGGTTTCTAATTTCCAGTCACCTGAATACTTGTATATATGTATATGCAGCTCATATTCATGCACGGCTTGGGCGACACTGGGTATGTATGGCCGATGATTGCCTTGGGCTATGTTTATTTCTTTGTTTGATTGTAGACATGGCTGGAGCAGCGCTTTGGCTGCAGTGCGACCACCCTTCATGAAGGTCATCTGTCCAACGGCACCGACACAGCCTGTGTCGCTGAATGCCGGGTTCCGTATGCCGTCGTGGTTCGATTTGAAGACCCTGGATATCGGTGGGCCAGAGGATGAGCCGGGTATACGCGCTGCTCGCGATGATATCCATGGCATGATCAATAAGGAGGTTAGCGCTGGCATACCAGCCAATCGCATCGTGCTTGGCGGCTTCTCACAAGGCGGCGCCTTGGCTCTTTACTCGGCACTGACCTACGAACAGCCATTGGCTGGCGTAGTGGCTCTGTCATGTTGGCTGCCACTGCACAAGCAGTTTCCCGATGCCAAAGTGAGCAGCGACGATGTACCCATATTCCAGGCACATGGTGACTACGATCCCGTGGTACCATATAAATTTGGACAGCTGAGCGCCAGTTTGTTGAAGTCCTTCATGAAGAATGTCACATTTAAGACCTACAGTGGACTCTCGCACTCGTCCTCTGACGAGGAGATGAACGACGTGAAGGTGAGTGAGCAAAATGCTGAACTGAATTTATTGATGAATTGACAATCTTATCGTTAAAGAATTTCATTACACTCTCCTTGCTCTTCTCTCTTGCAGGACATAATCAGTAAATGGGTAAAATAAAATTTCCATTTAGCACTTTAAGCACTCTTAGCGCGTCTCTTCCTCGCTCGTCTACTGCATTCCAGGAAAGAAAATTGCAAACACAACAATAACAATAACTAAAAGTAAAACTAATTTAACAAAAAAAAAAATTAATTTGGGCCAAACATATTACATTTTAAACACAAAACAACCGCAGTAAGCAAGCCTCCAAAACATGGAAACACACAATCTGATGTGGCTTGAGTTGATTTTTGTTCTTTTCTAAGACAAATTGAGAAACTAGAGAAACACAATCAATAACCTATATGCTTCGTAATAACACCCTGTAAAACTGAACAATAGAGCGAGATATATCAGCGATCAGAGTATTTTAATATACTCTCTATTTTAAAGAAGTGAAATTGTTTCATAAATTCAGTTAAATTTGAGAAAAAAAATAATTGATAACAACCAATAAAAAGCTACTTAATCCATTAAAACAAAAAAAGCAAAATAATTTGAATTAAAATTATTAAATAAATTATTCAAAATAATTGAAAACTAGAAAAACATAATAAAATTTAATTTCAATTCAGTTATACAGTGACTCCTTTTTCAGAATTTTCTACAGATCTAGAATTATTACTATTAAATTCTTAACATTTTAACATTTCACTTTTTTTAAAACATGAATTCAATTTTGCTTATCTTTTACTTTTCTTTTCTATTTCTATTTTATACAGCAACAATCACAGATACATCATCTGTAGTTGAATTTAGTTAAATTTGCTTTATAATAGTTTGTGCATTAGTTTTTCGGTGGCTTTTAATTTATGGAATATGTCAAATAAATTAATTTTGATAATTTCTTTTAATGCTTTTATTTCATATATTTGATTTTGATTGTAGATCTATTTCTTTAGTCGCCAGCAAATACCGTTACAATTTATAAACACTATATCTTTCTCTTATAATCCCATAGAGCTTTTCGCCTTACTCACTCATCTCTCATCTATCTATATTTGCAGACTCATTGGGAGGGCCAGAGCATGGCAAGAAAGGCGCAATGCTGCCAGATATCATAGTAGCTATGCGAATTGTATGTAGTTGCAGTTCCTTCCACAGTCCCTAGTCAAGAAACACGCCGAGCAGATGTCTGAGATTTTTGATGTATTTTAGATATTATTTTGTACATACGTATTATGTAGACTTTAGGCATATTAAATAGCTATTGGAAGTCTCCACTTGGTGGATGGATGTAAAGCAGATTCGCTAAAGCGAATTCAACCAATAAAGTTTTGTGACCGACTAGCTTGAAAAAGTCCTTAAAAACTGGAAATGGGATAACATGGACCAAACTTGATTAGATCATTTGATCTAATCAATATAATTTAAATAAGTCGCGTTATTATAATAAGTCACAATAGCGAATTTCATAATCGATATATCCGATAACAGCGCGATGGCTTATGAACGTTCAAGCCACTTTCACCATGCATATCGAATATGTTATCGAAATATCGGCGCAAAATTTCAATACATACAATACGTTTTTTGCGCAATACTTGTTGCACGAAAATCAGCTGATGAACTGAATATAAAAATAAAAACTGAAATATGTGAAAGCTGAGCTACTGATTTCGACCCATACCAATTTGTTGATAATACTTAATTTAATGCATGGCAACCTAAAACCGGCAAATTTAAATAAATTGCTGGATTTTGAGTAAAGTAAACAAACGACGAACTGTGCCCCTTCATACAAACACATACAAACGCTTATACAGATGTGCACACGCAAACACGACTCACACACCAACACATGCACACCACAGCCAAATAACGTTCACGAACGTGAACCATTCACGACTTCGCTGCGCTTCGTTCAGTTGTTTCCGTATTGCCGCCAAGTTTGGACGCATTCGCTCCGCTCTTGTCGCTTCCAAAGTTCGCGTCGTTGTCGTCGCCATCGCCATCGTCGCCGCCGCCTTTATTTTGATAATAAGAGGCGCGAGTGCACTAAAGCCAGCAATACAAGCGGATAAACAAAATTAATGGCAATTGTGAGTGTTGAGCAAATTGCAAATCAATTTAACCCAAAATCCAACTAGGACAAAGGCAGCAAAAGCAAAGCTAGAAAGCGAAAGTTACTTTTTGTGCTTACCATTTACAAATTGCGGTTTACCGCTTGGGACACTGTGCACTGTGTACTTAGTTTTTTCTTGTTGCAGCTACTGTTGCTGTTGTTGTTATTGTTGCTGCTTGGGTCACAAAGGAAGCTTTGTAACGTGTTAAATTCATTTGCGCTGTTGTCATTGCCCACATTCCATCTGCAGAGTGCAAAGGCATATACGCATACAGATGCATCTATGTAAACACATACAGTCACACGCACACGCATACATATAAATACATATATGTTTGTATGTATATGCGTGCAAGAAGTGCGTTGGGGTTTCTTTTTATTTTTATTGCAATCTTTTAGGTATTTGCTTTTACTGTTTACGCATACCTTTACTTCTGCACACATACACACGTGTGTGAATGCGTGTGCCTTTGCGTGTGCGAAATCTCTTATACGGCGCCCTGTTGCGCCCTTGAGTCGCAGTTCCTCGCTATTGATATATGTATGTATATAAGGTGCGCCGCCCTCTTAGAGATATGTGTGGCTCATAAAACCGCTTCGAATCGATGAATTGCACTGTTGGTTATTACGTATACTCTATGTATTTGATAAGAAATTAATTTTTAATTCAACGCAAATTTGTAAAAAGAAAATCGACTGCTATATCTTTTTTTAATTTGATTTCTAAAATTCAACTCGTTAAACGTTTTGCCTAGCCACATCAAACAGAAGAAAGTGAAGCTTTAGCTTATCATTTAACAGTTATTTGGATGCCATATTCGTGCTCTGAAAATTAAATTCAAACCGAACATCGAGAACCGTAGTTATTTAATAATTGAGTTACCCTTGCTGGGGGCATTGTAGCAGGAGCAAGCATAACAAATGCATTAGGTGCGCTGTGATGTTTATGTGAGAGTGTGTTGTTTGTGTATGTGTGTGTGTGTATGAATAGAAAATCATTGAAATGATTAAATAACATCTCCTAACAAGGGACAATCACTCTCGACTAGAGCATTTAACCTACTGCTTCCGTTGCCTAGGTCAACTTCTCTGTTCTATATGAACTTAAATTTGCATTTGGCACGTGAGTGCTACGCTTTGTTTTCCTAATTTCTCAAAGTGCTAAAACACGTAATGGCCCTGAAGTCTCGCTGACTGTAATCAGCTATAAGCGGAAAGGTATTAATCAGACACAATTAACAAAAATATAATCTTTGCTGCGGTCAAATCTTAAAAAAAAAAGTAATAAAAAACAGAATATATCAAACGAACTCTTCTTTAGAGCTAATTATATGTGCTTCGCTTGCTTTTACTTATTAGTAATCAATTAAAGACAACTGTTGTGATTTATGACTGGATTTTTTGGTTTCGCTGGATGCGGCCTTCGACTCTTAGACTCTATGCCAAAGCGTGATTAACAAAGTGCGATCCGTAATTCCGCTCTCTCATATCTTTGTTAAGCTGTGATCGAATATATAAAATAAATATATGAGTAAATGTCTACATACCACAAAGTTAACGGATCAAAACGTGATCAGCACAATAGGTACATCATTAAAATGTAATCAAAACTGATGATGAATTGACTTTTCTAGTGATTTTATTTATATTTGGAATATAATTTTTATAAAATGATCTTTATTTCTTCTTATATCGTTATTATATCATTGTTTCCAAACTAAATTGAAGACATTTCTATGTGTACTCAAATCGTGATTTTATATATTATAATAATAAATAAATCTTATTTATGAAGCTATTAAACTTAGAAAATTGGTATTTCGAGTCCATTATATCGTGGAATTAACAATTA